TTTGACCCCGGTGTTAAGGCTTCCGTATATCCCGGTGAATTCCTAGCTCACTTGTCTCCTAATGGCTGAGAGCAGCTGGCTCGCCAGGGACAATCTCAAGTTTGTCTTAAGGAAGAACCCTGCCTTGTCTGAGACTCGAGCCAGTTCTACCCGGGCTTCTCTGTTCCTTGGGCAGCGTCAAACGTGCCCTTTGTTTCTGGAGAAGGAGCATCTCCTTCTCATGGCCTCCATCATTTGGAGAGTCTCGGTGCTTCCCGCTGCCCCCAGCAGTGATGTCACCTATGGGAAGGGGCGGGGGGGGGGAGCCGAAAACCCAGCTGAGCCTCAGGCCAAACAATGGTCCCCTTCTTGTGCAGCTGTCACTTCTCTGGAGCAGCAAGAGAGCCCGTGAAGTCACTCATTGAGGCCTGGAGCTTGAGTTAGCTATTTGTCATGGTAGCTTCACCCCGCCCTCCCTTGTCTTAACACTCCGGGCCTGTTGGGTTAGTCTGATGGCTGTTGCGGCGGGGTGGTTCCCCCCCCCCCCCCCCCCGTTTCAGGAATGCTTCTTGTTACCTCGAGACGCGAGTGGGCGCAGAGTAAAAAAAGTCAATCCTTTATTAGGCATAGCAAACCACACATTATCAAACAAACAGCATATGCAAATTGTGCAAAATACGAATTCAGCATAACAAGGTTTGTCCTACTCAGATCTTTAACTCCAGGGAGAATCAATTTGCATAAATAATACAATATAACACTACCACATCACCGATCAGTTAAGAACCACTGAATCTCTCTATAATGGCCCAGTCTTTCTACATGGACAGCACTCAAAAATTCAGCCACTATTAAAGTAATTTGATCATTCCTGTCCGAGAGCAGGTCCTGAACTGTTGGTGGCATAGAATTGAGGCTGTTAAGTTGTAAGGCCTCTAATAATTGTCTTCTGGCATAAATGCCAAAATCACAAGAAAAGAAAATATGCTCCAAGGTATCAGGTTCCTGTTTACTACATTTGCAGAGACGCTCTGCTTCAGGGAGAGCTAAATATCTTCCTCTTACTATCATTGAGGGAAACATATTAAATCTGGCTAACATAAACAGCCTGCACAATTCATGATTCTTCAGATTTGAAGGGTGCGCAGAGTAGATGGGACCACATCTTAAATGCAGATCTGCCCCCAGTCGAAAAGTTAGTGGGTTACGGGGGATCCTATGGCAGACAAATGAGGAGCTCAGAGATCTGCAGCTTCCCCACCTACTCTTCCCTGTTTTTCTTCAGCCGGGTTCTGCTGCTGAAAGAAAATAACCTCTGAGGACAGACTGCGAGGCACTAACCCCACAGATCCCACAACATCTCCTGCCGTTTGTTTCTTTTGCACATAAAATCGAACCAGCGGCAATTCTTTCCTCTGTGTGTTTGGAGCAGATCTGGGTTACCTTTGCTAGTATGTTCTGCATTCCATTAAGCGTCATGCAGGGTTGGTGCTCCACCCGAAGGACTTGGTACATTTTTACTCCCAAATGGCCCAGAACCCACCACATGGGGGCTGTTCTAGGTTATTCAAGTCCCTTGATCTGACAGGCATGGAACTGACTCCTGTGCTTCCTTGTTCTGACTGTTCCCCCCCCCCCTCCAGGTTGTCTTCTGCATGGATCGTGCTCTGGAGTTTGCCCCCGCTTGCCACCGGTTCAAAATCCTCAAAGCGGAATGCTTAGCATTGCTGGGTCGCTACCCTGAAGCACAGTCTGTGGCCAGGTGGGAACTGCAACCGCTAGAAACAGGCTTGGTGGGGAAATTCCCTGTGCTGTGTAGGGATGGGGGAGCAATTTGTCAACCTCAGGTTCCAAAGTGGAGTTTCTTGATCCGATCCGGGCAGAGCAGAACCTGGATTGGATCATGGATCCACTTCAGAATCCACATTCCCATGGATTCCTTTGAAAAGGAGAAGTTCAAACACAGATAAACCAGCTGCCCACTGCCTGAGGCAAGCTAGCATGTGGGGTTCCTTGCTGTCACACACTCTCCATGCAATGAAAGTAAGCTCTCCCTTGGAACAATGGGACTTTGTGTTTTCTTGCTTTTGTGGTGAAATGCATGGAGATTGCTGGGGGCAGCCATGTTTCTCCCCTGAGAGTGATGGAACATCATCAAGTCCCATTGCTCCTTGGGGGACTTTCTGCCACTTGAATTAAAAGCTCACAACAGCCACGAGCCCTGCATGCTGGCTGGTCCAGGCTGTGGGTCATTGGATGACTGGGTTTTGAACTTTTAAAAAAGGCAATAAAAAGCTTTTACAAGAACGCAGACAACACGGCAGCCCTCGGACCGCTTTCGGAGTGCTTTTTTAACCAGAGTTTCTGCATGGATTTTAAAGTATTTCCCCTTTTTTAAAAAAAAAAACCTGCACAGAAATTGGATTTAGTCCCATCTCCATGCAGAACAGACGGACCAGACTTTAATTGGTCTGTTTATCCCTAATCCTGTGTAGCCTGATTTGATTATCAGCTGGGTAAGTGAGCAGGTTTCGCTGATGCTTTTCCTCCTACAGTGGTGCCCCGCAAGACGAATGCCTCGCAAGACGGAAAACCCGCTAGACGAAAGGGTTTTCCGTTTTGGAGGTGCTTCGCAAAACGAATTTCCTATGGGCTTCCATCGCAAGACGAAAATGTCTTGCGAGTTCCTGCAGGGTTTTTTTCCTTTTCCCCCCCTTTTCCCCAAGCCGCTAAGCCCTTATCAGCTGATCCGCTAAGCCGCTTATCAGCTGATCCGCTAAGCCCGCTAAGCCGAGCTGCTAATAGCCGCTAAGCCGCTAAGCCGCTAATGGGCTTGCTTCGCAAGACGAAAAAACCGCAAGACGAAGAGACTCACGGAACGGATTCTTTTCGTCTTGCAAGGCACCACTGTATAATGTTCCTGCTGCTTGTGTAAGTGGTTCTGTTCTCAGGAACTCGCAAAATTTGGCTTCCCACGGTTGAGGGGTTTTCTTCCTTTTTGTTGCAAGTCAGAGTTACCTTGCCGATATCTTTTTATTTGGTGGTGCTGGAGCCTCTGGCGATGATGAACTAAATTTCCCTAATGCCATAGGGGATGGGGCAGACAAAAGAATCTCTGGATAGTTGGGATTTGGGTGATGGAGTGGTCCAGAGGAATGAGGGGAAGGAAGGACCACTAGCAGGAGCCTCGGAGGAGGAGAAAAACTCAGATTGGCCTGAAGGTGTTGGTGTGAGGTGCCGCATATTGATGTGAAATAGCCGGCCACATCTTTGTCTCACAGGAGTGTCGGTTCCTCCGTCAAGGGGTAGGGACGTGACCTGGGTGGATTTGATTTAAATCATTTTTTTTACAGAAAGACTCATTCTTGCTGGTATAATCTTAATATTTACAACCAGAGGAAGGTTTCATTTTTGGAATAAAAAAAAAATCAAAGTAGTATTTACAGTTATATCAAAAATTACTGATTTGGTTATACTATTAGAAATAACATAGACAGATAATTAGGAAATCTTGTGAGGTTTAGTAAGTTAACTGTTTATATTTGGACAACTTTTCTGCTGTACTTTATTGGAAGGAGAAAAATAATCATTTCCTTAATAACAATTTAAACTAACTAAAGCAATAACATTATAGCATATGTATCCATGTTTGTTAACGGATGTGGTTAAACGATTTAAAAAACTCACATGCACCTAAGACTGAGTTTTAGCACACATGAAAAACTTAAAACAAATCTTTATTTGCTGATGAATAGCCTTTGGACTATAATGTAACTTAAAAAGGAAACTACATTTAGTTTAGTTTAGTGCTCTGGTCCATGGGGTCACGAAGAGTCGGACACGACTAAATGACTAACAACAACAATCTTTAGAAAGATTTTTCCTCCGAAAGCATTTTATTTAAAAAAATCTCATTTAAATTAAAAAAAATCCAATTCAAATAAAAAAACCCAATTTATTATTATTATTAATCATTGATTTTTATCCACCCTGGATGTGACCAGCTGTCCTTTGGTGATCAACAGTTCTGTGACTCTGCCTTTGTCTCTGTGCTTAGCGACATCTTGCGAATAGACTCCACAAACGCTGATGCCCTGTACGTCCGAGGTCTGTGCCTTTACTACGAAGACTGCATTGAGAAGGCTGTGCAGTTCTTCATCCAGGCACTCAAAATGGCTCCCGACCACGACAAGGCCTGCCTCGCCTGCCGCGTAAGTATGAAAGGAAGCAGCCAGGTGGGCGTTTGCTTTTGACAGGCCTGCGGGCAATGGAGGGGGCGGGGCTGCCTTCACCTGTGCTTAGAGGGAACAGGGGCAAGCATCACTTGGCAGGTGGCATTCAGGAACGAGGGCAAACATTGCGCTGCTTGTTCCTTTCTAGAGAGGAAGTCGGAAGATACCTTTCATCCCTCCACTTTTTTTCTTTTACTTTTTTTCTCGCCATACCTTTTATTTTAGGCATGCACACTTACTGTTTCACTGATAACATTAAGCCCGACTAAAATAGGCCCATTGAAATAAAGGAATCCAACTAATACAGACCTATTATGAACTGATCTTTGACCGTAATACTGTTTTTTTTTGCTCTATAAGACTCACTTTTTCCCTCCTAAAAAGTAAGGGGAAATATGTGTGCGTCTTATGGAGCGAATGCAGACTGCGCATCTATCACAGAAGCCAGAACAGCAAGAGGAATTGCTGCTTTCACTGCGCAGCGATCCCTCTTGCTGTTCTGGCTTCTGAGATTCAGAATATTTTTTTTCTTGTTTTCCTCCTCCAAAAACTAGGTGCGTCTTGTGGTCTGGTGCGTCTTATAGAGTGAAAAATACGGTAATTGCTATTATTACAGACCTGTTAACTGGTCGACCCATATTTAAGGGTAACGTTAAATACAATCCATCTCTTCCTGTCCCCTCGTTTCTTGGTATTATTCCTCACTGAAACCTGACAGCAGGACACCAAAGGACCCCCCCTCCTGGGGGGGGAATAGTTGGGAGTTAACACAAGACGGAACAGCGCTTTTCAAATGAGAAAGTGGGTGGCTCTTAAAAGAGCCTTTGGGTTTCTGTAGAATTTTCCCAGGCAACCGAAAAAAGGGAGCCCAGCACACTTGGAGCTGGTGTACTTGGTGACAGCCTTGGTGCCCTCCGAGATGGCATGCTTGGCGAGCTCTCCGGGCAGCAGGAGTCGCACAGCGGTCTGGACCTTCCGGGAGGTGATGGTGGAGCGCTTGTTGTAGTGCACCAGGCGGGAAGCCTCGGCCGCGATGCGCTCGAAGATGTCGTTGACGAAGGAGTTCATGATGCTCATGGCCTTGGACGAGATGCCCGTGTCTGGGTGCACCTGCTTGAGCACATTGTAGACGTAGATGGAGTAGCTCTCCTTGCGGCGCTTCTTGCACTTCTTGCGCTTCTTTTTTCTTTAAAAAAATATATTAATTTTTATTAACAAACCAATCAAATCACATTAGTTCCAAATTACAAAGCCAAATTTTAAATTTTGTTGGGGGTACCCATGCTTCGAGCTCAGAAAGGGATCCAATCATCTCTTGTTGCTGCTGCTTTGATGTTCACAGTTCTGTCCATTTGATGCTCACAGTTCTGTCCATTCCTCTCTTTGTTGTTTTCCTTTATAGATCATCTCTTCTTGTTATTATCGTAAATTTTTTCTTTTCTTTATCACCTCTGAAAGTCTCCACAAGTGAGTTGAAACAAACATGTTATAGTCCTGTGTGGATTTTCACATCAATCCAAAAATCATATTCAGACAGCAGACGTAATTTCAACACTTCCAAAGAAAACAGTCTTAACGTCTGCTCCTTAGCTTTCACAGACTTGTCGCTCCCATATTGATCTTTTTAGGGGGTTCTGCCAAGTCGAACACAGAGTCAAGTATGATAACAAACCCATGGCTTCCTTCCCCTCTTGATCGTCAATCCTGCAACAAAGCCTGCCTGTCATGGCGATTCTCTTTTTAGAACTGCGTCATTCCAAAAGCCTTCTGTTCCTTTCCAGATCTTCCACAAAGCATAGTCTTTGGTTAATAATTCAATTCCACACAGTTCATAATAATCTCACTTGTTGTCAATTGTTGCAACGGTTCTTCTTGGGGGGGGGATTGTTAGGTAATTACATAGAGAGAAAAAGAAAAGCCCCCCCCCCTTCTAGTCGCCCTTCTTCTGCGTTTTGGTGATGGCCTTTTTGGAGCTCTTCTTGGCCGCGGGACCGGACTTGGCCGGCTCAGGCACCTTCAGCCTTCTCACTCAACTACAGCCTCAAGCGAGAGTGGTGGAAGATACCTTTCCGAGGTATCCAAAGAAGGGTTTAAGATCACCAAGGCTGTGTGCATTTCACACCAAAACGTGCTGCTAGGCAACTTCAGTTCCGCACCAAGAAAGGTTGAATTCTGCAAGCTGTATAAATTATGCAGGCTGAGTAAACTCGCATATTTTTGCTCATGGTGCATAATTTATTCTGCACATTTTACTATCTTTCATAATTCTATGTTTGCAAATCCTGGGGTGTTGTCAGGGACACTTCCATACCCTGAGAATCTTAATCGGATGCCTCTGGCTTTGTGAGTTTTCAGCAGGTATTTTCCATATGCTTTCAAGCACATATTCAAAACCAGGAAATGGTCAGAAGCTGAATTTCTTGGCACCTATTATTACATTATGCCCTTTTGTTGTGCAAACATCTAGTCCTGGCCCTAGTATGGTAATGCTCGTGAACAAATACCTTGGGTAGCAAATGATGGATTTGGCTACTTAACTGATGATAAGAATGCAAATTCTGTGGGCACATGACGTCAGCAGGCAGTCCTATCCCAGCTATGAAGTAATTGCAAGTGGATCCAGAGTACAGAGCAAGTCAGTGTGTGTTTAATATACATTGTTTTTGTGCTGTTGGCATCATACTAAAAGGCCTGCAATGTTTTGCCAGTTAAACAGTGTAGATTAAAATCTTCAGATCAGTTTAAAAGGGTGCCTCACAGTTGTTGTGCAGTTGGGGAGCCTTAACTGTTGATAGCTCTCAATTACTATTTTTTTAAAAAAACACAATACAGTACAGACTGGGAGCTAAGCAGATTATCAACACAAATTAGGGGATGCACAAATCTCAAGTGTATTGATACATTGCTGAGAAAGGAAGGCAAGGAATTATAGGAGAGCCTTGGTTTCAGAACAGTCAAAATCAGTATTTTATCTGTGTGTGAAATATAAAGTCCACATGGTACCTTCATTTATGCCACATGATTACCTTTCAAATGATGACATATTTATTATGATAGTAGTTTTGTTGCTGTTGTTTTTAATGAAGCAAGTTGATATATTGTTATATCATCCAACCCTAATGGCAGCTATGGTAAGCGCCAACCCTCCCTTCTCCCAAACAGTATGAATCATTTTGCCCCTGCCGCCCTGGGCTTCTTTTATGGTTTCCCTGAAATTTCCACCCCCAAGTCCAGGCCTAGTTCTCGCTCGCAAATTTATGCCAGTTAGTCAACTGCAGTTCTTGAGTTAGGTGACAGGCCTGATGGTGACGGGTTTGGTTTTTGTTTTGCTGCTCCAGTTCTTCAGTGCCTGATGAATGCCTTCTCTTCTAGAACGCCAAAGCGTTAAAAGCGAAGAAGGACGATGGCAACAAGGCCTTCAAGGAAGGGAACTACAAGCTCGCCTTCGACCTTTACACAGAGGCCCTTGCAATAGACCCAAACAACAGGAAAACAAATGCCAAACTCTTCTGTAACCGCGGGACGGTTAATGCAAAGGTAAGGAGACGTAATAAAGTTTGGTGGTGGTTCTTTTTTTTTTTATCAGATACAGTCGTACCTTGGTTCTCGAACACCTTGGTACTCGTATGTTTTGGCTTCCGAACGCCACAAACCTGGAAGTAAGTGTTCCAGTTTGCGAACATTTTTCAGAAGCCGAACGTCCAATGCAACTTCCACTTGACTGCAGGAAGCTCCTGCAACCAATCGGAAGCCATGCCTTGGTTTTCGAACTATTTCGGGAGTCAAACCCTGACTCTCTTTTAACCTCTTTTCTATTTTTCTTTATTTCTCTCTCTCTATTCCTTCTCTTTATGATTTTATTTTATTTAGATCAAAGTCTTAGTTTGGGGGGGGGAGGAAATGATACTTGATCTTAAATTTTGTGTTTTTCTCTATAAGCACTAATATATATATTTTCAAAAAAAGGGAAACTGAGGTCTAGGATTAAACAATCTAGTCAGTAGCTAACTTTGTTGGAAAGCAACTTGGGTAGGATAGAGAGAGTTGTACAAAGCCTACCAACAAATGCTGTTCCCTCCACACCTCTTCTTTGCTTCTGGGTGTCTGTGATTTGTGTTAAATGCCCCACCCACCCACCATCCTTCACTTCCTCCCAAGAGAGCCCAGGGCAGCAAACGCCAAAGTGGTGAAACAGTACAATTGAAAGCATCTAATGCTTAGCCAACTTGGCAGGTGCTCAAAGTGTGCCCAGTGACTATACGATTTGTTTCCAGATGATGGCTGTCCCATCACCATCCCTGCCCCATTAGGGGAAGTTAGGTTTGGCTCAGATGTCGCCAGTTCCTGACTGCAAATGGGGCAGTTGGGGTTGCATTATGATGATGACTCTGCATCTGCTGTTGAGACGAAATGGGAGAGACTTTAGAAGTTTAAAGCAGCTGCACAACATGTTGATTTTGTATATTTTTTTACCAACACATATAAAAAAAACAGAAGATAAAATAGATTTTTGGAAAGGAGAGTTCAACAAAACCAGGAAGAAGGTTATTGCACAAGAACCGAAGAGTGGTGTTTTGAACCACTAGGGTTAAGCAATGGGCTTTCTTGTTCCTTGAGGAAACTGTGCGCTGTGATTCTTGGGAAGCCAAGGAGAAACTTTCAACCCACTGATAAGTTGAGGAAGCTCTTGGGTACTGGGCTTCTTGCATTCTGAAATTGTTTAGAAATTGAGAGCCAGTGTGGTGTAGTGGTTAGGAGCGGTAGTCTCGTAATCTGGGGAACCGGGTTCGCTTCCCCACTCCTCCACATGCAGCTGCTGGGTGACCTTGGGCTATTCACACTTCTTTAAAGTCTCTCAGCCCCACTCACCTCACAGAGTGTTTGTTGTGGGGGAGGAAGGGAAAGGAGAATGTTAGCCGCTTTGAGACTCCTTAAAGGGAGTGAAAGGCGGGATATCAAATCCAAACTCTTCTTCTTCTTCTTTAAAAACTCTCCATTGTGTTTCTCATAAACTAACATGGAGTGGTTCACTTCCCCCCATAAGAAGGGATCTGCAGGGTGGGCACCTGTGGAAATCCATCCAAGCAAATGAATAGCGTAATGCGGATTGCCAAAATGTTATATGGAAACTAGCTCAGCCACTCCTTCTCCCCGCCTCCCCTCCTGGATAACTTTTGGTCCTTTGTTTCATCCTATGCTTCATCTACACATTCAGTGATTGATCCCTTATCTATCAAGCAGCCTGATGTTTCTGAGCTATTCAGTGTGGTCGTATAATGGTGTGCATCTTTATTTTGTTACCCCCTAGTTTGCTTTCTATCCTTCGAGGAGTGGTACCGTCATATTTCTGGGCAACCAAAGTGATTAAAAACATTTTTGTTTCTTGGCTTGAAAAAAAAAAAGGAAACAGCAGATCCAGGTTGAGGAAACCTGTTTGCTGCCTTCCCCTCTTAGAGACCGAAATGAAAAATAATGCAGAGGGGTCTGTTTCCTAACCTTGCAGCTTCTCTTGCAGCTTAGAAAGCTAGATGAAGCAATAGAAGACTGCACGAGTGCCATCAAACTGGACGATACGTACATCAAAGCCTACCTGAGGAGAGCACAGTGGTGAGTGTGTCTTGTTTATATTAAATACTGGGCATGCCCAGTTGGTGATGCCCAGTTCCAGTTCTCATTCCTGATAGCGCCATTTTAAAAAGATCAGGTGAAGCACAGCCAGGAAGCATCTCTCCCTGAAACCCTGCTGGATTGCTGTCCAGATGGTGCTGGAGGAGAGGTGGACTGGTGATCACGTCTTTGCATAAGACAGGTGTTCATATTAGGTAAAAGGGAAGCATCACACTTTTGGTTCCGACTGCCTTGATAACAATAGCCAATTGGATTAGGTCAGTGGTTCCCAACCTTTTTCTGGCCATGCCATGGCCCACCTAAGCATCTCTAAAATCCTGATGCCCCTCCCCTGTGACATAATTCTTATTATTAAAAAAGTGAACTGTTCACATGGAGGAAGCCTAAAAGACCAGTAACTGTTAATAATGCATTCTCAAATTGCCCTCCTGTAGAGCGTGTGGTTGGTAACCACAGGATTAGGTAGCGTATTTTTCGCTCTATAGGACGCACTTCTTCCCCTCCAAAAATTAAGGGGAAATGTGTGTGCGTCCTATAGAGCGAATGCAGGCTTCTTGGCTTCAGCGATAGCAATGCGAAGCCTCTGAAGCGCAGAGGGAGCGCTCCCTCCGCGCTCCGGAGGCTTCGCGTTGCTTTCGCTGAAGGCTGGAGAGCGAGAGGGGTCAGTGCGCACCGACCCCTCTCGCTCTCCAGGCTTCAGGGATAGCCGCCTGAAGCCTGTGGAGTGCAGCGTGAGTTCCCACTCCCGCTCCAAAGGCTTCAGGTTCCTTTCACTAAAGCCAGGAGAGCAAGACTCTCCTGGCTTCAGCAGAGAGGGAGAGCTGTGCAGCGCCCCTTCTGCCAAGCAGGAGGAGAAATGGAAGGGGCTCCGTTTCTCCTGCCGCTTCGCTGAAGGAGCGCTGAGCAGAGAGGGGGAGAATTTTTTATTTCTTGTTCTCCCCCTCTAAAACAAGGTGCGTCCTATAGAGCGAAAAATGTGGTAGATCAAGCTTGATGTGACTAGGAACATGGAGAAATGTCCAAAGGCCAGTACGTTTCCAAGCACAATTCATAATGTTGGTGCTGACCTTTAAAGCCCTAAATGGCCTCGGTCTTGTATACCTGAGACAGTCTCTCCACCCCCATTGTTCTGCCTGGACACTGAGGTTCAGCTCCGAGGGTCTTCTAGCGGCTCCCTCACTGAGAGAAGTGAGGTTAAGGGAACCAGGCAGAGGGCCTTCTCGGCAGTGGCGCCCACCCTGTGGAACACCCTTCCCTCAGATGTCAAGGAGATAAATAACTATACAACTTTTTGAAGGCATCTGAAGGCAGCCTTGTATCTGGAAGTTTTTAATGTTTGATGTTTTACTGTGCTTAACATTTTAATTTGTTGGAAGCAGCCCAGAGTTGCTAGGGCAACCCAGTCAGATGGGTGGTATACGAATAACTATATATAAATTGTATACAGATATTGGGAGCGGGTGGCGCTGTCGTCTAAACCACTGAGC